GAATTAGGATAAAGTACGTACTTTTTACTTGTACCGGCGGTACAAGTAACGAAAGTAAAAGTACTGACATATATGGTCATTATAGTCATGAATATTTTTGTTTCCCAAAAACAAGTTAGAAATGAAGCGATTTTTCTTCTTCTCATTTCTGTGTAAGTTTTCTCAAGAAGTTCAGTTAATAAATGTTTACAAGGGGTAATGTGGACAACTAGTCATATTTTCATTCTGTGACGTAACTAAGTTAACTGTTGCCCGATCTCAAAAATAAAAAAAGTAAATATTTTTCTCATAAAAACCAGTAATTTTATATACTATATAATTTCCCAGAGGAATATTGTATAAAGTTTTTTATAAAGTCCTCTTATACTCTGCGTATAAACAAAAACCGGTTCTGAAAAGATTTTCCCTTCCTCATAAATGGAGGTTTAACCGTGTAAAACTAAGCACAGATGGCATTAGGGGATAAAATTCATCGTTCATCGTTAATTTTTCGGGTTAGTAATTCCGATTACTTTTTTCGCCTAACGTTGAAGAATCGTGCTATCCAGTATTATGGTACTTGTAATGTTTACAATAAACACGTTCTTTCAATTTAAATTTCAACCAAATAAGCAACAATCGGAAGACTCCGCAAGCATGTTTTGCTCTGCAAGATGCTATGCAAAAAATAACAAACGTGGATATTTTACAGAAATATAGCCATATAAGGGATAACACTCCAAACAAAGCAAACCTTACACATTATTTATGATGTGATATTAATTTTCTAGAATTTGTTTTAGACTTATAACCAGTTAGAATTTTTAAATTACAGGAAACTCTTAGGAGTGGTGAATTTACACCTAAATTTAAACCCAAATCACTATAATAAAGCTTTCCAGTATATTAAGCTTATTCACACATAACAAAACCGCGGATGGATACACCGGAAGTTATCTAAATTTCTTCCGGTTATTGAAAGCTCGTTATTGTTTACATTCAGTCAACCATCCATACACAAAGAAAAGCTCGTTGCGAAATAAAACCCCGTTTAACATCTTTGTAACAAGGTCTGTTATGCGACAAACAAACATTCAAAATGAAATATTGAAAATCTGATGATAAGTATAAATTATTCAGCATTTTTTTAATACTTCACATAACTCAGTCAGACTTCTTTTTAAGTATTATTTAAAATTTTCATATCATAAAATGATTCCATCTATAAATGTTTATGATAAATACCTTTTTATAAGGACTTGAAGAAATAATTTGGAAGTACTGCCATACTTCATGCCAAAAAGTTTCAAAATTTTTCACTGACCAACTATGGAAATCCCAATATGAACCTAATAAAATACAAACATTAAATAATATAAATGAGTAGGACCATCATTGTTTAAATTCATTCAGCAGCTATTTATTATTTAGGAAAGCTTACCTTATAATCAAGCTTATTATACAGTCGAACTCCGCTATAGTGAACCGTCTGCGGACTCAGTAATGTGTCCACTATAACCGATGGTTCACTATATCCAAATTTTTTAAAGAATATTTTTTACATAAGACAGTTGAATGATTGAAAATTGACTTTGCAATTTTGCACAAGTTATTTAAAGGTCTTATATAATTTATAATATAAAGGTCTTTTAGATTTATTCAAAAACCAATAATTTTTTTATTTATTTGTTTATTTATTTATTTTTTTGTATCTGAAATTTTAATACTTTATCTATTTCATCATTTTTATAAGAACCTAAGCATTTATACTAAAAAACTAATGAGAGATGAACGAATAAAGAAATTATGAAGAAAGTGATGTCTCTTATATTTTTAGAGTAGTGAACAGCAGCTTAACTAGAATAGTCACTTTCCAGAAAAATTTAAAAACAGACAGAAGAAGATCGAGACAACAAAATGATTTAAATGGTTATTATCATTTAAATTTGTTTGTAAATTAAACATTTGTGATACAAATAACCAAATGAATTTCCGAAATTGACATAAAATTAAAGCCTATAAAATTTACGATAGCCTCATTAAACATTTGCTATCACTTTTTAATTTTTTCAAAATGCGGTCACCCTTTATAATGCAAATGCTGTCATTAAATAATTGGACGTGCTTAATTTTAGAAGGGTATAAAGGAGGGATATATATATTTTGCAGTCAAGCTTTCTCCAACGTCCTGGATAAATAAGGCATTTCTCAATAACTAGAAGGACTTACCAAAATTTATTTTGTACTTTCTTTGGATAACATCTTTGAATTTTTCTAATTCTGCATCAGGAATTTTCGTGTTCCAGATAGTCTCTAATTTATTTTTTCCCATATCTTGAGATTTAACCATGTTTGTTTCCTGAATTAGAAAAAATTTGTTTTTAGTTTGAGATTAAACATTAATGGCATCAATGTAATCATATGCTTAGTTGCCTATTTTATACGCTTGTTGATATAGATGTGTTCAATTCCAATACAGATGTTACAAATTTTACTATAGCTTGAACTTAATCTATTTGTATTACATCTATATATGCGTTACTATCTACATATTGTATCTGTTTTAATTCATACAGCGTTGAATAACCGATAGAGGTCTTAGATACGCCCCTTTGCTAATTGGTTCTCTGTCAGTTCCTTATCTGCCAACTTGGGGAGGAAACAACGAAATCTAAAGCATTGTACAAAAGAATTTGTATACAAATTAACTATTTCCCCAATATTTTAACCCTTTTCAAGGCCGTGGTAAGTATACTTACCACCACGTTTTACCACTTTTAATTTAGGTTTCCATTTTTCAATAACTTCAGCTTTCTTGAAGTGAGTTTGAATAAAATTGGTAACCATTTGTCACTTTTAAAAAACGTATAAAAGTTATAAAATACATAATTCCTTTTGAAGTTTGTAGCATTTAAGGAATTTATTTTATAAATAAAGAAAAATAAAAGTCAGTAAGTTCCTAATAGGTCATGTTAAATATATTCACCACCAAAAAAAAAATGGCGTTTTTGTAAACTAAATGAGTTGTTTTTTCTTTATATCAATTACTGTTCTTAAAACAATTTCAATTCCAAAAATACTTTAATTTACCTTTACTAGAAATAAAGAGCCAGTTAAAGGGTTAAAACAGAATTACCTTAGAGATAGATATTATTTATTATATTTTTTTAATTTCGAATGGCAAGGCGAGTTACAAAGAAAAGGGTAACTTGATAAAAAAAGAAATGAAAAAACAATTGAATAACAACAAAAGACAGAACAAGTAAAACACAGAGTAATAGATTTCATACATATATTGAATTATTGATTGGACGGGGGGGGGGAGCATATTTTTTTAACCTTGAAAACTAAAATTTAAGATTGAGACTAAACTTAAGTGTTGCTACTACTAAGAAAAAGTTTCTTCAATATAGCTGTGAGATTTGGCAACTAACTGATGACTAATTACATCTTTAGTATTCTTAGTAGTAAAATAAAGCAGTAAGTCATTAATCATTCCACCTAATCATGACAGTTATTTTTTAAGGACATTTTATAGTAAAATTTATTTCCTATGAGCCGTCTCTCTTTAGTTTACTCTTAAAATTTTTAGAAAATCAGCATTCATTAAGTTATGTAGCAAAAAATCCCTTGGCTGCCATATGAAATGGAACAAAATAAAAATCTCAAAGCCGCCATGTCACAGTGTTATGAAGTTTTACGTGAAAAAGTACTTGAAAAAAGACAAAAATAGTTCTTTCAGATTTTTCAGACATAAACTACTATTAAGAGGGCATTTTGAAATGTAGCTGAATTTTACTTCTGATGATGGCTCATACGTTAATAATATGTATACCTTTTTATTTCTGAGCTAATTTTCTTGTTTTTTTTTTGCGCACTGTGCATTATAACATGCTTTTCGACATAAAAATATCAAGAGGGTGTTATCAGTTTCAATTCAGTTCGAAAAATAAAAAGTGGTTTTAACTTAAATCCTTCAAGTTTTTTTTTTTTTATTTCGCAAAAACTATGTTTTTTATCTCAATTTTTTTCTCTCATAATATTAAATATCATATTTTTTAATATAAATGTTTTTTTTTTTGGCCAAAAAGAGTATAAGAAGTGGTTTTTTTATAAAATACACTTTTATAAGATTTTTTTCATGACACGAAAAAAAACTTATTAACGTTAGTTTTTTTTTCTCCATATTTTTTAATGTGAAAAGATCAAGAGGATGTTTTTATGATTTTGGTCATTTAAAAAAAAAAGTGGTTTTTAGCAAAAATAATTCAAGATTTTTTTTATAGCACAAAAATAAAATTCCTGACTTACTTGTTTTTCCACGTAATGTTAAATGTACTTAGCACAAGAAGAGATCAAAAATTATCTTTTTAAATAACCGGGGAAAAAAACAGAAAAAAACACTACCTTCGTTTTTCTTTTGTATTGTAAAATTTATGAGGTCAAAATAATTTTTTTTTCTGCACGATAAAAAAATCTTGAAATACCTTGGCTAAAAACCACTTTCTGTCTATCTTTTTCTTCGAATCTTTATTTAGCTCTTTTTCAAAGAAAAAAAATGATTAAAAGAATGGAATTAACTTTTTTTAACTCGCATTTTCTCTTAGCTTATTTTCCACTTTACGCTATTAGCACGTTTTTAGCTATACAAAAATCATATTAGCGATCAGAAAACATCTAGAGAAAAAAAATACTTACCTTTCTAGCAAGAGACATAAAAGAAAAACTTGATATTAGCTGTTGATTTATAAAAATAATTTCCTACAGCGTTCTTAAATATATTTCTCCGTTAGACAATGATATAATTAGGGATAAAAGATCAGCTTTTTTTAGAAAGTAAAATTAAGCAAAAATTCCTTACAAGTTCCGGTTTGTTTCATTAAGAAATTGCCAATTCTGCATCAATAATAAAACGATTTTATTAACATTTATACGTGTCATTATGAGTGAAAGGACATTTTTTGTTTAACATTTTGACGCTTGCTGCGAAAATAATGCAGTTGGTGGAGCATGGTGATTGACTGTAATGGCTAATGAAAACGGTAAACACAATAAATAAAGAGAAATTATCCCTACAGATAATAATAATAATAATCTGCACATTAAATACCTGGTATTATTTTAGTAAAATTTTCTCTCTTAAGTTCAAAACAAAATCATACTTTTAACCTTTCCATTTTGAAGGAAAAATATATAGCTCTGATCTAATACTATATCAATAATCTATATAAATAATGAAATAAAGAATATATGTTGAGAATGTCATCTTAAATTTGTGCATGCGTGTGTGTTTACTTACCAAATTAAGTGTATACCGTAAGCACTAAAAATACAACATTTAACATGACATCAATTCATAATTGATTGATTGATTGATTTGTTCATTTACGTCGCACTAGAGCTGCACAATGGGCTATTGGCGACGGTCTGGGAAACATCCCTGAGGATGATCCGAATACATGCCATCACAATTTTGATCCTCTGCAGAGGGGATGGCACCTCTGCTTCGGTAGCCCGACGACCTGCACGCGAAGTCGAGCACTTTACGGTAGAACAGTTTAACGAGGACCAATACCGCACACCCTCGGTCCCTACGCAGACTGATCCAAGTGGTCACCCACCCACACACTGACCGCAGTCAGTGATGCTTGACTTCGGTGATCTGCTGGGAACCGTGTCTTAACGTTAACGATCAGTCCACTGCGGGACTTCAATTCATAAATGAGTACATTTGTGATTACGAATCCCGATTTTCGATTTTTCATTTCGATTTTTAACCAGGAAATTTTCTAGTGTATTTCAGGCTCTAAAACTACGACATTCAACATGACATTCAATTCATAAATGAGTACATTTGTTATTACGAATCCCGATTTTCGATTTTTTAATCAGATTTTTAACCGGGGAATTTTTTAGTGTATTATAGGTTCTAAAACTACGACATTCAACATGACATTCAATTCATAAATGATTTTAATTATGAAGTTTTGATTTTTTAATTAGATTTTTAACCAGGAAATTTTTCTAGTGTATTTCAGGTTCTAAAACTACGACATTCAACATGACATTAAATTCATAAATGAGTACATTTGTAATTACGAAGTTCGATTTTCGATTTTTTTAATTAGATTTTTAACCAGGAAATTTTTCTAGTTTATTTCAGGTTCTAAAACTACGACCTTCAACATGACATTCAATTCATAAATAAATGCATTTTTAATTACAAATTCCGATTTTCGATTTTTTAATTAGATTTTTGATCCGGAATTTCTTCAGATGTATTTCAGGTGTGTTCTTTTTGTGATTTTTCTCTCTATTTTTCTGCACTTTTAAGTCAATCACGCTCAAACAAAGCTTCCTATAATTTAATTATTTATTTATTTATTTTCATTGCAAAATTCAGGCTTTTCAGCCAGAATGAACCATCTTATTCTTTTAAGAAGATTTTTTTTTCTATATTTAAAAATTTGAGAGAATTGTTATTTGAGAAAATGGTTTTTTCGTCACCTTTTTACCCCTAATTTTTCAAATTGTAAAACCCTTTGAATCTGTAACAAAAAATATTCCTATATTATAGCATATTATTATAATTTTGGTATCGTAAACTACAGGTTATAGTACTGGGTCCACCGTCAGTACACTATGACGGTGTTCGACTGCATATACATTTCAATGCTGCTTACATTTGAAACTAATGTAATTTCCATATAGTATTGAATGTAAACAAATGTAATTTGGAACAAATGAAAATGTAACAAGTGTGATTCTTAAAAGTTATGGATTGCTAATCGTATAAACCGAAGCGCAGCCGGTGCTATGGATTAAAATTTGCCGTAAGACTTCCGATTTACTTTTTTTCCTAAGCTTGAAAATCGCGCCAGCCAATATTATTATACTTGTTAGGTTTACAATATAACGCGTTCTTTCAATTTAAATTTCAACGAAACAAACAACAAACGAATTTAGAAGACTCCGCAAACATGATATGAGACTGCCCCCATCTAAAAAAAAATAGATGGCGATATTTTACACAAATATAGCCAAATAAGGGATAACACTAAAAACATGGCAAACCTTACGCTTTATTTATATTGTGATATTAATTTTCAGAAGTTTATTTACGGCTCGCGATCTCTTAGAATTTATAAATTACAGAAAACTCTTATGAATAATATAATTACTCACAAATTTTAACTCAAACTACTCTAACTAAACTTCTGAGAATATGAAGCCTGTTCAGACATTGCTTCGTAAACATAACATAAACGGAGAGATACACCGGAAATTTTCCATGTTTCTTCCGATATTAGGATGCTTTTTCCGATATTATATTATCCGATTCCGATATTAGGATTCATTCAGTCAACCGTTCAAAAAAATAATAATAATAAATATATTCCCACAGTAGACTGATCGTAAAGACACGGTTCCCAGTAGAACACCGAAGTCAAGCAACACTGGCTGCGGTCAGTAAGCGGGTAGGTGACCACTTTGATCAGCCTACGTTGGCACCGAGTGTTTGTGGTATCTGTCCTCGTTAAACTGCTACTGTTCTACAGTAAAGTTCTCGACTTCGCGTGTAGATCATCGGGCTACCAAAGCTGGGAAACCATCCCCTCTGCAGAGGATCAAAACTATGATGACATGTCTTCGGATCATCCTCAGGAAAGTTTCCCAGACCGTCTCCAATAGCCCATTCTGAAGCTCTAGTGAGGCGTAAATGAAGTATCTATAATAAAAAATTGAAAAATAGAGGGAAGCTAAGCCGTTCGATTTCTGTAGAAAAAACGCATTTATTTTCTGCGTTAATAATGAAGCATGAATAAAATTAAAATATAGTTCTAAATTATTATTGAATCTGTGTTAACTTAATTAAAACAAAAATATAGAACAGGTTCTATAGAGAAATGTTTGGTTCGTAAACATTCATTTCTGGCTACCTTATAACTCGGTTTGTGTCAGCTTTTCATTGCACACGCCTTTCAGAAATGTGTAATCATCTATGTTTAAGCACTCATAACTGCTCAATCGCTTGATATTTCAGCTTACAGTCCTTAGTTCACAACGTGAGAATGAAATTTCGGCGTTCCTTAACAATATGCTCATTAGTGGTTTATGCATGATTTTATACAGTATTTTCATAAAGGAAATATCTATTAGTTTTAAAGTAAATATAGTACTATTGTTAGTTTATTAAGGACTATGGATACCCTGATGTTTTAGATAGATAGATTACTGATGTAATTATTAATTCATAAAATTAAAGTTTACTGAGTAAAAGTACAGGATTGTATCATTTTATAACCATTGTTGAACAGCTGACCCAATTTTTTGGGTTTACGACTACTAATGTTCAACTCCGTAACCTTGTAATTTTAAGCCCAAACCAGAAGACAATGGAGCTCCTGGATCAAGTATGGGAAGAAATTATCCTACATGGAGGACTTTTTGATGGAACTAACCCTCATTTTCGTTTGCAAGGTGAGGAAAACAATGAAAACCTCTCACGGTTAGCCTGGCGGCATGGGGACTCTGACCCATATTCATCAAACAACGGAGGATATTTTACGTCAGTACTGTGTTCGGTGCGAGCCAGGTGCAGAATTCGTATCGGCAAGTCCTTGTTGCGATTCAACTCCGCCGAACCGCTAAGATTCGAACTATCCCCTGACCCACCACGGCTCAGAATTGCATCATTGCTCGAGTTTACTACGAACAATTTTGGTATCTAAACATTCAGAATACGCTGACATCAGAGTTGTCAAACTGAAGGCCTTAACTCCATAAAATATTTTTGTAGCCAGTTAAAAATCTGTGAAAAATGTTCGGCCAGTTGAATTTTTGAAATTATACATGTATTGTAATAATTAATTTTTGCTGTTTATATCAGAGCCATAATTTCAAATGAGGTATTAAATACTACCTTGAAAATTTAATCACTTAATTAATTGCAATTAAGAAATATTTGAAACTGTTTTTGTATTATTTTGAAATCTCTTCACCATATTACCTGAAAGTTATTTAGAACTTTCATACTTAAAAGTATCTAGTAGTGAATTGAAAATTAACATGCATTGTGAATACAATATGACCTTCGCAGTTGACACTATGATTAATATGTAATTTGTCCACTAAATTGTATGTAAAATATGATAGTAATGTTTTTACAATTCTTTGCATAAATATAAAAAAATGAGTTCTACTATGCTATTTTACATAAAACATTGAAGTAAACAATATATCTTAAGAAACTCTTCAATTTTTTTTTCAAGTCCTTGCTCTCTCATTTTCTCTTATATTAAAATGAGGTATTAAATACTGCCTTGGAAATTTAATCTCTTAATTAAACTAGATAGCAATTAAAAAATCTTTAAAACGGCTTTTGTATTATTATGAAGTCGTATGCAGATATTAAGGAAAAATGTCTAAGTCTTTAATACATCTTTCACAATAGACGGCTCTGCATCTTTCAAAAAAAAAAAAAAAAAAAAANAAAAAAAAAAAAAAAAGTTATTACGATCCTAAAACAAAATTTGACCGATTACAGAAAATTCAACGACTTACGTTTTGTTATTCTATTTCTAGAAATCTGAAAAATTCTAAGTTCGATTAAATTTTTAACTGTTTTTCGGACAGGACAAAAATGTTAACACGAATAAAATAGCTTCTCAAACCACATCAACCATTCTCCTCCAAGACCAACGAAACAGGGTTTGCACGCTGCTGTAAGATAAGGTATGACGTTTTAATAGGTAGGATTACCATATTTGCGGTTTTCAAAGCGTTTATTCTATACCGCGCCAAGTGGTGCCTCGTGAGTGTTTCCTACTAGAGTGCGAACCGATCTTCTCCCAATATGGCGTATTCGAGCATTGCGATCGCCTATAATCTAATAAATGTAATTTCATAGTTTAACCTTTGTCACTCCAACTGGAAATTAAGCTGCCAATTATGGCTGTTTTTTTAATATTTTGAAGATGTTTAAAATGCATTTAATAAAGTTCTTGAAGTGATATGAGTAAATAAATGTAGTTTACATTTTACACAACTCGTTTTCATTTGCCATAAATATTTTGTTACGCTTTGAAAAGATCTATAATTTTTTTTCTTTTCATGTAAAAATCAGTCTACTAGTTATTAGTTATCCTAGTTGCTAGCTATCAGTAATTGTTAGCTTACTACTTATCAGTTTTAAAAATACCTCACATACAATCAACGTTACCTTTAAATAATGTAGTGAATCAGTTAATTAGTGAATGGTAGTTGAAATTATTAGATTATTCTAAAATATGTAATTATTTTTACAGTTATTATACTTATTTAATGTGTAATTAATTGTTATGTATTAATAAACCATGAATATTATTTAGTTTCATCCTTAAAATTAAGCTGCACCGAATATTTAATTGTATTTCAAGGTCTGTACTCCTTTTATAATTAGTTAATTTTGATTTTTTGATGCGCCACCTATAGTTCAATGGCATTTTAGAACCAAATGCTAGGCTTAAGATTCACAGAAATAGGCAATCGGAAGTGTGAATAAAACAACAAATAAAAGGGAAAAAAAAAGTTTAAAATTAGTACTGTGCGTGTCTGATAATTTTGCAAAAATGGTTTGTTTTTAATGTTTTTCTTTTCATTAAAGCAGCTGAAAAATGGATGAATTTTTAAATAAATTGATATTACACGAAATTGACGCAAATGACGTTATTGAGTGGTTAAAAAGCAACAAAACACCCATACCCGATTTGAAATCTCTGGACAGATCTGAGTTTATTCCTTATTTTGTTGATTTTATAAAGAGTAAATGCTCATGGGTATGCAATGCTGAAAAATCTAATGACCTTTGTGATAAAGAAAAAACTCCCTCTTCACCTATATTACATTCCAATGGTATAATTGATAAGCAAGCACATCAACGAACTCCTTCACCTTTACAATATAGGGTAAGCCATCAGAACTCCACTATCGGAAATGAGAAGAGAGCTTCTAATACGGCCGAGGATAAAACAAAATTTCAAAACCAGGGTAAAAGAGTTCAAGTTATTACATTAGGTTGCACTCCATATAAACAAAAGGGTAATTTTTCCAATTCGCGATACTCATCAAAGTCACCTGATTTCAAAAATGGTAATGATTTTCCGCCCATGGGTAATAATAAATTCTACGGAAAAGAATGTGGACAGCCCTATTATAAATCCAATCAATTTGTCGAAAGTAAGACAGAGAATCAGTATAATAAAAAGAATTTTGTGAAGGCTTATGATAAAGCGCCAAACCCTTGTGAAAAAAGTTTCAATGCCGATGCATTTCCTCCTCTTGGTGCCAAAACACACGAGACTAAAGCTCGACGAAGAATCACACCCACTCCCATTCAAGCTAAAAACAATTATCAATCAAAGTTTGGAAATTCTAACTTCACAACTGTTTCGGAAAGAAATCAGAGTGAAGCATTTAAAACATCAATTTTGCAAGAAAGTGATCCCAGTCTTCAACAAGAAAGAGAGCTTCTTAAAGTTACTAAAAATATATTTAATATTCCATCTAGTGTCAACTCTGGACGGTTGTTTAATGAGGTAAAGCCAGATAATGTATCAATTCCCAACTCTGTAATGCCTCTTAATGAAGTAAAACATATGCTGCCAAAATCAGTTGATACATTTGTATGTCCTAATCCGGAAAAAATAACAATGATGGACGGCATTTTATGTGTTTCTGAAGTTTACAGCTTCCTACTTTCTGATCATCTAGTACCTAATGTAACTTCCGAATTGTACTTCTTACTTGAATTAGTTACTTCAAGGGTATCCATAGAAGAAAACCCTTTAAATAAAGGAGACATCTTTACAACTGTTCATAATTGTGTTTATTTTGCTGTGTCAGTTTTAGTAAGACATTGCTATTTGCTACAGATGTTAGATAAAGCTACTTTGATATCATTGGAAGGTATACCGTACTTAATAAAGTTTTCTCCACAGTTAGCTAATTATTTACAACTTTGCTTTACTTCAAGACAAGACGTTTCTCCTTTATTGCCGTCTTTAACTGGGGTGCCATTCCAGGTTGAAGATGACAGTAAAGCTAACTTTCCTGATGAATATACCTTTGTCTGTTTTAAAAGACAAAGGGACTTGTTTTACGAAATGCTGCGTAATTGGCATGAAAATACGACCAGTGCTGATACCAAATTTCAGTTTATATTTCTTAAGAAGGCTAGAGAGTTAATTAGTTTAAATCCTAGCAGTATTAATATGTTCCATCTTGCTAAGCTTATTCAGTCACAACTTGTTGCCAGCTGCATGTGTTTGGAAGTTAATGAAGTGTATGATGAGCTATTGAATGACATACAAAAGAACTTTCCAGATAAGTTTAAAAAATTACAAGAACGTTTTTTGACACCATCTTCTTCTGGTGGCTTAAATCCACACCCGTCGTTTTATGGAATTCAAATATTTTTTGCTGAGTTGATAGTTTCAGCTGGATCACCTTCTCTAAATCAGCATTTAGTAAATGTATTTGTATCTAGGGTCTTAGAACTAAATAAAACAGACATATTTTCTGATGAAGAATTAAGCTCCTTGGGTACAATAAGAGATAAATATGTCTTCTTATTGCATACTTTACGTCTTCTTGGAAAATTTCTGGGTTATTTACACTTTCTACCATATAGTAAGGAAGAAGTTGCATCTTCTCATGTTGCAAAGCTGCAACTTATTTCAAGGCAGAAGGCTACTCTACCTCTTAATGTGTCAGAGATCTTGAAAGATTCTATTAAGCAAGGCCACACAGTATTGACTGTTCCCTGGGTTGTTGAATTTATAAGCATGGTTGACCCTGTAGGAAGAAACCTTGAGAATGTTTTGGAAGTTTTAAAAGTACTTATGGCTATATATAGACACAGCAGCTCTTTTATTGTTAATATACAATCACAATTATTTCTACAAGTGATTATTGGCTGGTTATTTGATGTATTGCAATACCAGTATCGATTTTACTCACAGTTTTTAACTGTAAGCATTCCAGATGGAAATTTTAATGATGGAATTGACTCACTATCCATCATTGACAAACAATTGATTCATTCTTGTTGCCCATATCTTATTGAATTCAAAGTTCTGATTCACAATTTCCTGAATGGTGTTCAAGAGAAAAAGCGAGACATAAGAAAAATCACACCTCTCACAACTACCAAATCATTGGTATCTAAAAATTCCATAAGCATGAGCCAATTAGAATATCGTTTAGAGGAGAATTTCTTTTTTCTTCATCCTTCTTCCGTGAAGAAGACTACTGAGTTTGTGTCAGAAAGAATGGCTTCTAAAATAATCAGCAATGTTCGGACGGTTATCACATCTATGAAGTTAAGTGTGGCGGATGATGTTTCCAACGACAGACAGGTAAAGTCTTCAACGATGGATCCAAATGTAAAACAACAGTATATCGATGAAATTCTTCATAAAAAACTCATTGAGGCATTCAAAGAAACACAAAATAAGATTTCAGTTTTAACTAACAACATATACGAGGAAATTAGCAACGTAATTCCGAGTTTACTTTCTGAAGATACGAAACCTAAAGTAATCGAAATGTGTTGCAAAATTGCTTTCCGAATGTCGGTTGATAAGATATTTGAATGGTGTAATGCAAATTTGTTGCTTAATGCCATAAAAGCTGACATCAGAAACAAAGTACAGCAGATTGCTAAAAGTCAAACTACAGATCGAGAACCTACTCAAAACTTTAACTTAAGTGTTTGGATGAATGATTTACGGAACATTGTAGTTAAAGTTCACACAAAGTCCTTTGATTTTGACCTAAATGTCATTCAGTCCTTGATTCTTAAAATTATAAATGTGATAACTAATGACACTCCAAATAGCATTCAGATAACCACATTTTTGCTTGCCATAGATTTTTATGTAGCTTTGTTTGTTAATTATCCAGAAAAGTATTGTGACCAGCTGGATGAACTTTTTATGGAACTTTGTTCTAATTGTCCAGAAAAAGTGACTTTGGGAAAATTGCTTGTTTGTCCTCAAAATTTCAGATTTTTAATGATAAGTGATAATCTTGAATTAACTATCACTAAATTTGTTTGTTTAGTCCGAAAACTGTTGGACAAGAAAATCTTTTCTCGTGGTGAACTTCAAAGTTATGTTAATGATATTCAAATGATTGAAAGATTTGATTTATTAAAAAAACAAATTGATGTATTATTTTGCTAGGTACATGGTGGGTCTATTTATGTAACAATATGTTGCAAATGTCTTGTAAAATATTCCAGTTAAGTCAAACTTGGTGAACATAAAACTTGAAGCAATTCGAGAGCCTGAAATTGATCTGTGTCAAAAATAGATTCATTTTATTTTTTTGTTTTTAAATGCCACATTTTTAGAGCTTTATTTTGATTGCACTTTATTTTATGTGTTTAAAATTTATTGTTAATATTAGTGCTAAGTTTTATGAATGAACTTGTTCAAAGCAAATATTTATTTGTAAAAATTCTTATTTTGTTATAAACGTAATGACCAAAGATGAAATTTTGGACTTTATAAGGTAGAAAATAAAAGTTTTTCAGTTATTGACAAGTATATTTATTTTACATCTATGACATTTTATTTTTTTAACTTTAAATCTCCTCAGAGTTATATTTTTAACACTTTAATTCCAAAACATTTTTTGAACCTAACAGTGTGATTCCTTTTTTGTTTTAAAATAAATGGCTGTTTTTTTCCCCAGCCTTTTCAAATGACCAAGTGTTTAACACTTACTAGAAAAGGAGGTAGTATATATGAGCAATTTTCTTTCTTAAGATTATGATTTCTACACCACCAGTTTCTATGCATCAGATTCAAAATATTAAGACTCACTAAATTGAATAGCCCTTCTCCCCCTTTATGTTTTCAAAGAGTTTCTGGAGCACGGTTGAATTATTAGATTATTTTCTGTTTCCTTATTTAGAGAATGAAAGCCTTTCCTGTGTGTAAAATAATCGTGAATATGCATTTTATTTTTCTTAATACTTTATGCTGAAGCTTATCAATTGCTGGGCATCTAAAATAAATTAATTTAATTCTACTTAAAAATGTTTTGTGATCATGAAAGATTAATCTAATTGATATATATTGCTTTTTTTTATATTTATTATCAAGAAATACATGAAAGATAAATAAATTACTATTTTGTCCTTTAACTATTGTAAGTTAGTACTTTTAATATGTTTATGTAAAATATCTTAAAGATAATATAAATTTTAATAAAAGCAGTGCCCAAAACAGTGTGTAGTAATAGAATTTTTATACTTTGAATCCTTGTCTTTATAACTGTAACTGGTGCCAAATCACACCATTATGGCCGTCAGGAAATCTAATTTGTAAATTCCACCCTTCCTCTTTTCATTGTTGGAAAAAAAGATAGTACTCTTGTAGAAATGGTTTACTTAGATGTTTTTTGCTTGATCGAAGCTATTAAGTGATATGTAATTAATTATATTCCTTAAAATGTATTATTAATTATGTGTAATTTTATTATGTAGTGGCTAATATTTCTGTATCTAAATTAGCAACACTAGAGCTATCTCTAACATTCTAAATATGGCTAATTTGAAATTATGAAAGCTTATATAATGTGTCAATAATATCATGCTGGTGCTTACTTTTGAAATGGCATTTACTATTAATAGAAGATAAATGTTAAGTATCCACATGAAAATGCTTGTAAAACAGAAAAAAAAGAAAAAAGACTTGGGAAGCATCAAATTATTTCAAATGTGAAGTTATTGAATATGTTTAAGCAACCATTTATTTAAATGTTTAAATCAAATTTTAACTTCACGTCTTTTCTATGTAATTTGATTTATTTGTCTTTTTTCTTTTTAATTATGATTTTATGAATGCCCATCATCCCACAAGATCTTTCTCTTTTTTTTTTTTAAGAAAAGAAAAAAAAACTTCTGTAAAAATTCAGGATTTTTCAGAAACAATGTTTTCTCTCCAGCTAATATTCTTAAACTTTTTCCAATTCTGTGTATGGGTTCGCTCTATATTATAGGATTTTGAATCCAGTGTGTTTGTGCTTCAAACTTTTAGTTAATTGATTGAAATTCCATATTAGCACAATGCTGATGAACCATGCAGAGAGAATCCTCAAAGTGGTGAGTTCATAACGAAAACCTAGCCGGTTATCTAAGGTAGCTACTTTAATGAAAATTTTATCTAGAGTTTAATAATTTGTCTATATTTTAATCACTTTATTACACAATTGACCATTTCTAGGCTATGGTTTTCTCTTTGACTTTCCAATTTTCATAAATCTGAGACTTTTCATCATTATATGCTTCCCAGTAGCCTTTATTTAACTACTTTGGTTATTCTAAAAAACAACAGTGAATAAACATGTTCATAAATGTGCATATAAGAGATGAGAGTAACAATGTTAGTTACCTTGTCATTGTATAGTTATCACAAATCAATAGTCTCAGAATTTTTTAAACTGTTAACTTTATTAAAAAATTAAATAAAATTACAATTTTTAAACAGAATATTAAATCTTTAGCTTGGTTTTTAGCAAGAAATTATAGTAATTAAAAGTTCAATATATAATTTTGAAACAACAGAATAGTCTTATAGTGAAAATAATGAATATCTTTGTAAAAAAGCTTTTGTTTTAATTTTAATACTTTATTTCTATAAATAGATTTTATTCTAATTTGTAATTGTTGTTGTTTATTTTTGAAAAACATGCAACAAAAGTTTTTTATTGCCGCCCAAAGTTCGGCTTTGTTTTTAGAAAATGCTGTAGCTTGTCAGTAATAGTTACAAACATGCCGTTAACACTATTCAAAGTTTGCAATGACTTGTATAAAAAAACAACTTAGTTTTCTATTGTAAATATATGTATTAAACGCAATAAATTTCATTATTTTTACTACTAGCATGAGGTTTAATTCTTTTTTTACCAGAAATAATTGTATGCACTGGTTTCCCAAGGAACTGCAGTGCAGCTAATTAATGTTATTGAAATTGATGTTATATTAATTCATTTAATAATAGATTCAAGAGTTTCATTTATTTATGATCAATAATACTTTTACTTTGCCTGGGAGGAAAATTAATGAAGTTTGAGAACCACTGTTTTAAATTTTTTTTTCTATATATAACATTTTTTGCATTTATTATTTCTAAAGTTAAATCACCAAACTGATTTTTAAAACTCAAAATTTCAAATGTGATTTCTTTGTGGGTTCCTTTAGCTTTGATTTATTTAAATTTCCGTCATATTTTATAGTTTAAAGAATTTTAATTTGTTTATATTTGCCATAGATATTTTTAAAAAAATTTCATAATTTTTTTTTTTTTTTTTTTTTTTTTTTTTTTTTTTTNTTTTTTTTTTTTTTTTTTTTTTGTAGTATGACAAACCTGAATTAATTAATAACTTTACCTTTTTTCCACTGTTTGAATTTTATTAAGGCTAAACAGAAAAACATGTGTATCTAAGTCAAATTATTTAGAAAAAATGCAACACATCTTTTTTAATTAGAAAATATAGTTAAAGCTCCTTCAAAGCGAAAATGCACAAATTTTACGTTATTCTCCCTGGGGCATCACATTAAAATGGGGCATTTATTTCTTTTAGTATTCATTTTTGTAATACAATAAATACTGTGAAGCATTTTTGGTGGAATAAGTAAAAACGGTACCTGGTTTAGAAGATCAAACACAGAACTTTACAAAGCATATAAAGAACCTGATGTCATTAAATTTATTAAAATTCAAAGGATTAAATGGGCAGGCCACATTATAACAATGGAGGATAGCAGGACAACCAAAAAAGTTTTCTATGCCAGGCCCACAGGTACAAGAAAAAGAGGACGACCAAACCTAATATTTTTAGACTGCCTTGAAAAGGACCTACAAATTTTAAAGATAATAAACTGGAGAACCTTGGCTAAGGGAAGAATGTCTTGGCATAGGCTTGTTGAGAAGGCCAAGGCCCATCCTGGGCTGTCGTGCCAATGAGAAGAAGAATACAATAAACCTGTTTAAAATTTTTATACATTAATTACTTGCGCAACTTAAAAAGTTACATTTTTTGCTAGTATTGTTAAATGATAATAAAATAAAATGTTTCATCAATTTTGTAATTAAATATTTAAGTAATTAAAATTGATTACTTTTTAACAATTAGAAACTATGAATTCGCCATAAAATTTGCACTTTAATGGTTTTGTTCCATCAGAATAGACAAATATCTAAAAATATACATTGTTTTTTTTATGTTATATATTTAAAGAGACAAGTCACCTACAGTTATTAAAAAAATCTTTCTGATGATTAATTTTAAATGTTTAACTTCTATTTCTTGGGAAATATTGTCGGATAAATTATAGATTTTAATATTTTGGTGCAAGGCCATGGGCAACCTTTAATTGACAATATATTTTGAAATCTAAAAGAAAGCCAATTTCATTTTTCTACTCAGGAATAGGGTGTTTTTCAAATTCAAGGAGGATGGACAACATTGTTATAACTGAGAATATTTACTTATCTTGATGTTTGATTTATAAATGTTCTGCAAGCTGGATATAACAATAATTTAAAAAAAAATTCTAATTACAACTTCTATATATATGACGCCTATTATAATAGAATTTCGTTTTTTTGAACAATAGTAATGTTCATTCTAGGAGTAAATAAGAATTTCCGATTTCTTTTTATATACCTATAAGATTGTTACTACTTATCCCTCTGTAAACTTATAACTATATCCATTTAGATTTGCTCACGTAAAATATTTTCATTTATGCAATTTAAGTGCAATTTTCATTTATGCATTTTAAGTAAAAAAATCTCATTTTAATATTGAGTAATTTATCTATATTGCCGTAGAACGTCGATCGCTTGTTTCCCATGGGAACATTGTGAGCGATAGATACGAAAAACGACGAATGTAGGCCGATATAAAATATAAAGTAATAACTGGAAAATGTATGAAAAGTATAAGAGAAGTAAACGATTTAAAATTTAATAAGTTAACTATAATCGTAAAAAAAATATGTCTATTATTTAATAATGCTTACGATGCAAAAGTATAAAGATATTTATAAATTTTGGTTTGAATATAATCTTTTCTTCTCAGTACAATTTTTAAAATTTGTATTGCACACAAATACAGAATGATTCATTCATTGTTCTTTCTGGAAATATTGTGGAACCATTTTGACTTCATCAGTATCATTTTGCACTTCTTCAGCTTTTGCAACTATTTCTTGAAATCGACAACTCCACAAGTTTCAACATTTTCACAAAACTGCAACAAACCCTTATATTTCCTTCATCCTTACCATCAGGAGTTAACTATATTCTGAAAACTAAAAAACTTCAGTATGTTTAAATGCGGCAGAATTTCTGAACTGTAGAGGCAGGCATTATAAAAATTGCCTTTGCAACAGGACCATTAAAACAAGACCAAGGGATCGTGGTTCGGTTGTATTTTTAAATAAATCATTTATAAACTTACATCTTTATATTAGTTTTGGCTTGCTTTCGCTATCTAAAAATTAAAGTACAACTCTGCTCTAACATATGTGAAGTTAGAATCAAGTTAAATCACAGATAGAAGATTAACAAAATCATTTTTCTTATTCTGCTAATCTAAAGGTAATCTGCTATATTTGCATTTTAGAATGTACAAAAATGATATTTTTTGCAATAAAAATTTTTTTGAAATGTACCATGGTCTAACACATCAATAAAAAATTTATAAATTATTGTAATTTTTAGAATTTTGTAATAAAATTTCAAATTAGAAAATTAATTTTAATAAATCACTATTTTCTACTAAAAAACAAAGAAAAATTTTATGAGTGTAAAAGATTGATCAAATGTACATACTTATGTCTAAAACTTTGCTTTCCTTGTTGATAAAAAAGTGTACAAATCTCAAATTGAAAATGGAATCAAAATAATTCTAAAAAGTTAATAGGTAATTTAAACAACACAAATAAATTGTAAACAAAACAATAACTTGCACTAGTAATTTATTAATTGTATCAACAGTAATAATTATACAACTAATATTTTTAGGTTATGAAACTTAGAACATAATTTGGTGCCTAAAATGAGGTTGAAGCAACTTATTCTGCTTCATACCCAACTTCAGATTATACCGGTCTTTCACTCTTTTCACATATGATATATCCCTTGCTTTCTTGGCAGCAATTTTAGCCGTGGTTGCAGTGTATCCTATAGACTGGTAGTATTGCAAAACCTTTTTCACTTTTTGTTTGCTATTAGATTGAACTGGTTTCAAATTTTGTTTATAATACAAACTTAATGATCGATGACCCACAGTGGCACCGGAGGGCAGCACTAGTTCATAATCAGCATCACTCAATAATTCATCCATTTCAGCAACATCAACTGGTTCATCTTCACTCTCAACTTTAGAGTAATCATAGAGATCAGCATAATCTAAGAGTGCTTCTCCTTCGTGTAACATTTTGCAGTGACCTTTGTCTATCATATGCTGCTTTACAGACTTGACAGATTTAAAACCTCTCCCTTTACCATTGCACCATAAACATATGTGATCCATGTGAATTTTAGCAGCTAGAGTACCAATTAAAGCATCTAAATCAGTAAGATATTCAATATCAGGAATGAAAAAGGAATGAGCAGAGGTCATGTGGGATACATTGCTCTCGGTTGAATCGCTAACGTTATCACAAAATAAACAGTCGTTTGTATCAATTATAATTCTCTTTCCACCTTCATCGTCATTTTCGTCACAACTTTCCCATTCACCTTCCTCATCGTCATCTTCCCAATCGTCGTCATTATCAGATACATCATTTGCAGCTGGTTCAGCGATAGGTTTTTGGTCGCTTGTCGTAGGTTTTATTTCTTTTCGGGGCGACTTTTTAGGTTTCCTTGCTTCGACGTCCAAGTGTTTCTTGGACTTCAGGTGGTTTTCCAATGCATTGTTGGAAGAAAAATGCTTGTTGCAAGATTCGCATCGTAGTGAAACTTTTTTATCTTTTTCAGCTTCACTTTCTTTGAAGGCAGCCAATCGTTTTTCGTACTCTTCTTTAGACAGCGGAGGTAGCTCAGCAATTTGTCTTTTTAAATTATATCTATGCCAATCAGTTTTGTAATGATCATGATGAAGTTGAGGGACAGAAAACAATAATTTGCAAGCAAGACAGGTTAATGGCATCTTGATAAATTTAAATTGTTTAAAAATCTGATTATAAGACGTATTAAATAAATCTAGTTACTAAACAAATTGATAACATGAACGTTTGCACAACATTACGTCACAAGCACGACGATATGCAAAAACAAAATCAATTTTTAACCATTGTTCGAAATTTGAACCTTGCTTCTAGCTTTCTTACTCTTTACTCCACTAAGTTTGACAGCGTTACCTAGTGGCCATTTAGTGAAACTAAAAAAGAGGTTTCTGCCATTATGGATATTTGATAGTATTGTAAGACATTTGTCCTTGTTGAGGAGAGGAGTTGAATATGAAACATTATGCAGTAGCAAGAAAATTGTTTTTATAGAAAAGAGTAGATATTTGAGCTTAAACAAAGTTGATAATTTCAATTATTAGTTATCACATTTAGTTTAAAAAAATTGCAGTAGAATCAATTGAGATCCAAATAAAAAATTTTATATTTATAATTAATATATTATAGTATACACGAAACGTATTCAATTCGCAAAAATAGAAATGATTTCCTTTTTTAAAAGACAAAGATGGCCAAATTAAAATTTTTTAATCAAGTATGGTGGCGAATATGAGAAATTATTTCTTTGTTTACATATATATATATAACGTCGTTGATAAGTGGAAGGATTAAAACAGGTCTTAGGCAGGGAAGGAGGGTACAAAATTTATTTCCTAATTATTAGACAGAGCAGTCAGGAAAGTGTACACGAAAAGTTGTGGCTCTCGATTATATGTTAGGGAAAATCTTGCAAAGTAAATCCGTAAAATGTTTCAATTTAGGGACAGAGGGAAATCTTAGTAATTGCTATTGGTTTATGAAATAGGTCGAGTGATTCCAACGAAGATTAAAGGGTAAAATGTCTTTATTTAAATTCATGCATACTTTGGCCAAAAATATATTTAAGGACAGGATGAGAATTTAAAAGTGTGAGAAAGCATTTCGATTAGAATAATAAAATAAAAAATAAGGATATTCAGAAAAGAGCTAACATAGAAAGATTAATTGAAAGATAAATTTTACGAATTGCAATTTTATTTTTGATTTAAAAATCTGACTTACACTTACAATGATTTTGACCACCACTATAAATGATAAGTTCAAACAAAAATATACGACATGGGCATGTGAATCAATCATTGAAATGGCCATAAGGCCTCAGACGCCCAGTTCCACTACAACGAACGAGCGAATCAATCATTGAAGTGCTGGAAAAATTAAGCAAATTAAGATCATCTATTTCAGTATGTCTGTAAATATTGTGGGCAGATAGGGTCCTGCTTAGCATTGAATTAAAATTTCTGGTTTGGCATCTATGCATTTATTCGACAGCATGTCTCTATCATTGTCCAACACAGCAGCAGGGATGTGCTCGTGCATTATTCTTGGTAGTAGAGGAACATATTTAAATGAAGAACAAAGTTTTATGTACAACCGAGACCGCAAAAAGCTGTAGTAACATGGCACTGCTTTTTTAACTGACATGAATGGTTATAATGGTATTGAATGTATGGACAGAACTTGTTTATAATACTGATGGGGCTGGAAAGCATAGATAAACTACATCGAACGTTTGTAATATGTACTAGAAACTGGTACATGTATCACCCGTTTTTATGTAGTGTGCAATAAATGAATAAATAAAATTAGATATGACCTCGTGTTAGGCTTGTCAGGTACTATAAGGTTCAAATGGTGGACCTTAAATATTCTAATTATTTAATGATAACTGTTAATTAAGTCACGGCATCAGATACAAAAACGTACCTTTTCTGCATAAGTATACCTTTTCCTCCCGACACATTTGGGAAATATGGTTACAATAGTTTAATTAGAAGAGCGATCTAAAGTTTGAACCCCTTTTAATGTTAGTATTACTTTTTATACATTCCACCATATCTCGAGAACTTTTCAAGTGAATCATAGAATTTTTGCACTAAATTATAAAATATATTTCGCTAACGATAATTTCATAAAAAAAATTTCGTGTAATTATTTTTGTTTACTATTTTATTTAATGATAACCGAGAAAAACTTGGATTGCTTGTAAGGTATATAAAGTTTTTGCGATATTTTAAAGCTATTTTAAATGCCAAAATAAAAATAATTATATTTTTTGCTATTTTAAATGCCAAAATAAAAATTTGATCAAAATTGGTCAAACGTTCTCGAAAAGTATTTTTTTACTAATATGACTTTTTCAATGAATTACATAAATTGTATACACATGAATTTGATAGGAAAATTTTAAAATTATTTATTTAAAGAAAGTACATAGCGCATTATTGCGTCTGATTCCGCATTTTAATTAATAGTAAAGCACTGAAAAATTATCACATTTGAGACTAACTCTATGAACCATTAAGATAGGTCTTTAGTAATTGAAATTCCGATCACTGCATCATAAGTTATATTAGATGCTATCATTTTTTTACGTACTGTTTGTTATATATTTGTAAGTAAACATTTCTTTGAAACTGGATAGTTCATTTAATAAACTAATTCTGTAATTCGATTGACAAATGAATAAAACAAACTACAATAGTAATAAATACAAAGCATTTTATCGTGATCTTTATTAAATATTTAAGCAATCAAAAATTTACAAAATCGTTTATAAACATTTTAACAAAACAGTTTTAAAACATAAAAATAATTTTTGATTAATTTGTTTCAAATAGTACGTATAAAATATTAATATTTAAAGGAGAAAATAATAAGCGAATTTTTCTAGCAAATATATCTTTAACAGTTGAAGAGGTTTGGGGAAAAAATTTAAGTGACATTTCAGTGAATTAGAAGACAAAAACACCAGCATTAATGTTATTTAATGCCCTCTTTTGCTAGGCTCATCAATTTTAATTTGAAGCGTTACAAGTTACTTAGATTTTCATTTTACAAACAAGATATATTCTAATGATAATATCACCTTTTGAGCTGTTCCCCCTTAGTTTAACAATATGAAAAGTTTTATGTTTTCAATGTGGGATTTAGAGTATTTTAAACTCTAAACTCTTTAGCTCTACCTTACAAAATGAATTTTTATTACGAGTCATTGTAAACTACTTGAATAAAAGTGACACCAGCGAGAGAGCTAAGAGGATGTTTCTAATTAAATAAAAGGGTTAGTTTTATCAAGAGAATAATGGAAATGCCACTCTTTTTTTATTAAATGACTAAAACTTAATATAAATTACCATCTTCTAACCTCACTTAAACTTTCAAAAGCTCGTTATCAATCAATGCCTCTGAATTGAGGTTTTATTGACTTTTATCAATTTAGAAATGATTTATTTATTTATTTATTCAAAAAGTAAGAGATATATGCAAAATACTCAAATTGAAGTAAGTGCATTAATATGCTACATCAGTGTATAAAAGTAACAGAATGTGTAAATTATTAATTGGAGATTGACTATTAGAGATTGAAAGCAATTTAACTTGTTGGGCTGGGATGCATAATAATCCCAGAATCCCAGATTTTGAAAAAATTATAAATATATGCATGAATAATTTTACTGTATCAATTATTTCTAATGCTAATAAATCAATGAAAAATTTCAGTGTTTTGTTAATTTTTACGAAATATTTTTTTTAGAGGTGGTGAAAAAACAGAGTAAAAAAAAGTAAAGTTAGCCCATTTTTCATACTTAAGTCAGTGCAAGAAAATATAACCGTTCGATTATCAGGTCATTCTTTGTCATATACATGTTCGAATTATATACAAGTCGTGATCATTTTACATCGAATTTATTGAATCAAAAATCAAATTTTTAAATGACGTACTTTTGCTATTACATATGCTACGGAGGATGGAAAAAAATGTTCCATGAAATATATAATTGTTCGTAGCATTGTCTTTATAAGAAGTTTTAAAGCATCAACAAATATTTTAAATCGCATAAAGAACGACGTAATTGATTTTTCAAATCATGATATAAGCAACGACTTACACATTTATATTTTATTTTAAACATTTTTAAATAAATTTGTGTGAATTTAAATATCTTTCTTGACAGACTTAAGATAACCTTAAGACATTGAAGGGTCCCGGGAAGTTTATTCATTTTTAGAGTGCGTTTACGTGACAACACACATCTCATCATTGTATACAAATAAAAGCAACGCTTTATTTGCAATATTATAAGCAAATTTTGTAAACATGATGTCACACTATGACTTCAGTGACAACCACAACCCATGGCTACCATGTCATCGTACTGTTTCAATATCACATTCCCCACTTCATCGAAGTACAAGAGCGAGATGGAGAGTAGTCTGTCCGGAACACAGCATGGCAATTTCACAGCGTTCGTTAGACCCAGTTCGTGTGCTATGCTCTGCACTGTGGCGTGATTTGTGGGACGCTGATTTTGTCCCAGGGGAAAGGAACAGTCACCTTTGCACTGATAAGCATTGTAGCCTTTTGGGCTGATAATCCAGGCTGCCCATCCAATACGGTCAAAGTCGATGTAGAGATCGTGCCTCGAACACGATCCGTTTTTGTCAGAATGTGACCCTAAACTAATTACGTCTCCCCTCTTAGTTCTTGTAAGATCCGAACTGGTAGAAAAATTTGCTTCCAAACCTGAAATAAATTTAAAATAAGAGAACATTTAATTCTTTAGTATATTTTTAATGAAATAAATTAATTAAAACCCTGAAAATAAAAACTGCTGCAAAATTGCAATCATGCAAATGTTGCATTGATCGAAATGAGGAAAGGAAGTTCATAACTTTCTAGCTTAAAGAAAAGCTGATTCGTAGTAAGTTAAAAACTGATTTTTTTTTTCAATACCATAATAATTTAAAGAAAAGTATTACAAAATATTGCCATCCTTTATAATGATTTTAAAATTGCTCGTATTAAAGCTAAAAAAAAGTTATTAACTTCTTACGCTCATTTTGGTGGATTCGAACTTTGCACGGCTAAAAAGGACACTTTTTTCTAAAAGCTTCCAACATGGTCTTTCAAATTGGACCAACAGTTTTACCATGAAAAAATTTTCCAAAACATTTTTTGCTAAATGAAAAATTAATTAGTATGCATTATTTTGATCAAACCCTATATAGGCTAACATGAATGACGTAAAATTTGAAGTGTTGCTATTTGGCGATATTACAACAATGTGTACCATTTAATAATCATTCAAATATTTAATTTTTTAAATTATTAAATTTTATTAGGCAAATGACATAAAAAATAAGATTTAGATTTTTTTTTTAAAATCTGAAAATAGAGAATTTATAAAAATTTTATGGCTTGCAATTCAGAAATTAGTTCATTATTGACAAATTAATTAATAAAGATTAACTATTTTATCTAAATTTCTCATTATATTATGTATATTTCTTCATGCTGATGCGTTATAACTTTTGCGAAAAAATTACGTTGATATGATTTGTTGTTGTTGTTCATTTACGTCGCACTAGAGCTGCACAATGGGCTATTGGCGTCGGTCTGGGAAACATCCCTGAGGATGATCCGAAGACATGCCATCACAATTTTGATCCTCTGCAGAGGGGATGGCACCCCGCTTCGGTAGCCCGATGACCTGCACGCGAAGTCGAGCACTTTACGGTAGAACAGTTTGACGAGGATCAATACCGCACACCCTCGGTCCCTACGCAGGCTGATCCAAGTAGTCACCCACCCGCACACTGACCGTAGCCAGTGATGCTTGACTTCGGTGATCTGCTGGGAACCGTGTCTTAACGATCACTGCGGGACACGTTGATATGAAGAGAAATATGACGCGTTAAAATAACTTTACAGTAACAAACTTTTGAATCATTATAACGATTAAATAAAAAAATAGTCAGCTTTTCAAAACTGCATCTACCCATATTTTAAGAATTATAAATCCGAATCTCTAAATATTTCTTTGAAAAAGTATACTTCTTTCTAAAAAAGTGCATTTTTGATTAATATAAGCATTTTCTATTTTTGCTACAGTTAACTGTACCACATTCTAAGGATATTTCTTTAAGATATTACCGAAGAATTTTACAGAATGAAAAACCGACCACCCAATCAAAAGTTAGACGGTACACTCATCGCAATAATGTGAGCTATTGCAATGAGACATCACTAACTCTTAGGATTTGGACATCAGCACAGAGACAGAAATTCTAGGCTTCGATACTGTGATGATAGTACACTTGCTTATAGTACTACCAAAATATTCATCTGTATAGCATATCGCTGTGCTTTTTAGTGTGTTTCTGCATTTACATATAGGATGTATTTGAACTAATGGTCTAAAAAAGAAAAACTGTTAGGCTATACGTCTTACCTTCAGAAGAAGGTGCAAATTTACCAACTGTTTGCCGACTGTCATCCACAAATAAAACTAATAGAGGTAGTTTATTACTTCGATTGCCTTTTGCAAACTTCACTAGTCCTTTTGGAACTGGCTCATCATCAAGACTTCGAATACTTATGGTTAGACCTAAAAATTAATTACATTTACTTACATGTATAACAGATAATTAAGATTTTTGTAAGATATCACAATATAACTACCAATTTTTACGCTTCTTGGGAATTCATTTACTTGCTGGAAAAATTTATGTTTTAGTCTTAATGGAATTTAAATGATTTTGACCACCACAGCATTTAAAACCATACTATAAAGTTTCAAGAACTCAATAAATTTAACCCATTTCTGCTTAATTTGTTTCATTAATTAATTGTTTGTGACAATCACTTGACAAAATTTGCCATAAAAAGCGTATGGCATAGCAGCTATGCGAGAGAAAAAAATTAAATACTAATTTTATAAAATGGACCAAAAATGACAAATCTTTATTTATCGAGTTTATTTCATTACAAAGTTATAAACGCGACACACACAGCAAAAATAGTTGCACCTCTTATTCTAAACAAATTTCTCCCAATACTTGATCCAGGAGTTTCCTTGTCTTTTGGATTGGGTTCAAAATTACAAAGCTACGGAGTTGAACATTAGTAGTCTTAAACCCAAAAATTGGGCAAGTTTATTTAAGTGTTGATAAAAGAAACCGAAACTCTGCAGGCTTCAGTTTATAATTTTCTACCACTTAATGAAAACGTTTATGGAAATCTTAGCAATCGGAATTTCTGATAGTAAACGAAATGATTTCTTTTCATATTTTTCAGAAGAGTAAAAAGACCGCTTCAATTTTCCAGATTTCCATTATTTTACCAGAACTTCTGTAGCGCAACACGCAATCGGTACTATTGAGTAAATATATTCCATCAGTAGGTAACATACATTTATGTTCACTAATCACTTAATAGGTAATTAATATTTATGAAATTCCCCGTTTTATTTCATAAAATATTCATGACTTTATAAGAAAATATTTAAGATACGATTTTATGATCATTTAAGTAAGTGATTACTTAACATGAAATACGTATTATAACCTTGAAAACTTAATAGATCATTTACATCGTAAATCGTTCAATCGCTTCAATCGGTACTTTATGATCACAGCACTCGGTTTTTAAAATTAATACTTTTTGTACAGAAAGTTTCGAATTCAGTTTACCTGAAATAAATATTGAAACCGCTTTGTATATTCAAGGTCGCGTAAAAATCTTTTTGTTTGCAAATAATAATAATAACAACAATAGTAAATAAATAAATAAATAAAATAAAAATAATAAAAATAAAAATTTTAATTAACTTAGTCTTTAAAGTAGCCTGAAAAGGAATAAATAAAATATTTTTTTATCTCTGACATTAAAAAAATAAAATAAAAAAATATTACGTTTGGTAGACAGAAAAGGAGAAAATAAAATATTTTTTATCTCAGACATTAAAATGAAAATTTTAGTAACTTAGTCTCAAGAGAAGACAGTAAAGGAGAAAATAAAATAGTTTTTATTTCAGATATTAAAACAATAAAATAAAAATTTTAATTAATTTAGTCTTCAAAATAGACTGAAAAGAAATAAATAAATTTTGATTTTTACTTAAGATGCTAAATAAATAAAACGAAAGTTTTATTAACTTAGTTTTTAAAGTTTACATCATATATTAATTTTTAATGCTGTATGCATTTTTTAGTCAGCAAGAAAAAGTAAAACTATTCTAGATGTTTTAAATAATTTTACTATCAACATGGTTCTAAAATACCTATAGTTATAGGCTTATCGGATAATTCGGTTCCTTGTAATTTACAGCCGTCAGTTGTTACATTTATTGCAATGAATCTTTTTAGGCTCAAAACTAAGTGACATGAGCTAAGTTTTCCAATGAGCCTTACGACAGGCCGGGATAGCCCGGTAGGTAGGGCGCTGGGCCCATGTCCAAGAGTTCGTGGGTTCGATCCCCGCCGGCCGATGTAGTAAATGGTGACTGATGCACGTTAAATCTGTCGAGTCGCAGAGTCCTCCATGGTCCCATAGCAAATCAATACCTCTAAGGGTACTGATCTAGAAGTCCACTTGTCTTCTGGATTGGTTCAAAATTACAGGGCTATGGAGTTGAGCATTGGTAGTCGTAAATCCAAAATTGGGTCGGCTGCTCAACGACGGATATAAAATAAAAATTAAATGAGCCTTACGACATATACATTCGAGAAAAGTATAGAAATACTATATAACACATATATAATTTTGTTGCTCTGGTCTGCAAAGTTCACTGCATGGTAAACTTACAACAAACTTAACAGTGAATAACTTTTGATCTTATAATTGGGTGATGCATTTTTATTTTTATCATGCACTCAGAGGGGTTTTCATCAAAACTGTAAATTTTCAAGAGAAAACTTAAAGCCTTATAATCATTACCAAGATTTAATTCATTATCTTTTATCCAATCAGCAACAGCTTGTTTCACTGAAAATATCTCCCACCCAGTTGAATGAAGGCTGATTCTTCGGGTTTCCAAAACTCTTTTTCGCTTCTTCCTTTTAGATTTCACAGGAGGCAACACTTGATAGACTTTTAGCTGAAAAGAGACAGCGAAATTAAAAAAGTTAAATGACAAATAGTAATTAATTACACACCTGCCAATTTTTATCCTTTCTGAAAATTAACTTTACAAGAAAAAGTAAAAGATGTAGGTAAAAATAACTTTTTGTCTTTGTTACAGGCTTATTAAACCTAAACACAATTACTTATATATGCGATTGACATATTTACATGGTTGTTGAAAACATTTTAAATTAAATTTATTAACACGTTGAATGCCACGGGGGTCACCTGTGACCGGCGAAGCCAAGATAATTCGAAACACATAATTCGAGTAAATGTTTAATTTTTTTATATTTTTATCGTTACTAAAATGGTTTGAAGAAATTAATGCAATATGGAACACACGAAAATAGTTTAATTTATATACACAGAGATGCCAACTTGCTCCGGACAGCGAATAAATATTTCCAAGTGGTAGTTTATTAATTGTGATTCTTGGTTTAATACATTCAATTTGGTAGATTTTTTATGCACCACTATTTCTAAACAATTCGTAGGCTTCTATAAATCACCACTTTTTTCAGATATGTCATGTTAAACCTTTTAAAAAACTAGCAAAATCTGTCTAATATTTGCAAATTTTGTTTGTAATTATTTACCGTTCGGCCAGACGAGCGAGCCATGTAAAATTAGCTTGGCATTCAACGTGGTAACTGAATAACTAAAAAGAAATTTAAAATGGTATTATGTCATTTTAAAAATAAAACATCATGAAAAATCTGGAACAAGTAGGTAGCTATGCGACTAACAAGGGAAACTAGGGAAGTGTGACTCGCCAATTTTGAAATAAACTAGTGGGATGTATGCCTTATGAGGAATTATTTTAGAGGGAAACATTCGTTTCGGCCCATAGAAGGTCCTGTGAGAGATAAAAAATAATTCAATATATAGAAAAATTGGTATTTTATTACTTCAATGCAGACTATTAGTTATTGTATTTGTCTCATAATGTAATTAATTGGATAATTAATTAATTTGCTAATTAATAAATTAATTAACATTCGATTCGGCCCATAGAAGGTCCTGTGAGAGATTAAAAATAATTCAATATATAGAAAAATCAGTATTTTATTACTTCAAGGCAGACTATTAGTTATTGTAACTGTCTCATAATCCAATTAATTTGTAATTAATTGGATAATTAATTTTCTATTTAATAAATTAATCAGGAAATTAATGAATTGTTAATTAATTGTTAATTAATTATTAATTGATTTACAATTACATACTCCAATTAATTTGGAAAGTTTTTTGAAAGAAAAATTTAAAAAATTTGATGTCAATTTTTTTTAAAAATTAACCTAACAGGTTTTTCTGAAAAACTATAGATATATAAAATTTTCGAAATCAATTATGCATTATATAGTACGTAAAAGTACCACAAAATTAATTGGAGTATGAGACAATAACTGATAGTCTGCATTGAAGTAATAAAATACCGATGTTTCTATATATTGAATTATTTTTTATCTCTCACAGGACCTTCTATGGGCCGAAACGAATGTTTCCCCCTAAAATTATTCCTCATAAGGCATACATCCCACTAGTTTATTTCAAAATCTGCGAGTCACACTTACCTAGTTTCCCTTGTAAGTGATCAACATTACAGAAATGCCAACTGTTCCAGAAGAGACTAAATATTTTTTAAAGCGGTAGAAAACTAGATGCGAACTTTTTAAGAGTTTCAATTCGGCATACCTGGAATAAAGTGGCGTATTACATAAGCTTTTGAATTATTTAAAAGTAGTAGTGAGTAAAAGCCTTATTACATCAAATTTACTAAACCTAGAATAGAATCATACATTAAAAGATTACCATTCGAAAATATTTATCCGCTGTCCGGAGCAAGTTGGCAACTCAGATATTTTGTAAAGCTCTAAGTAAATTCATAGTTGCCACAAATATACAAATTTTTGCTCAAGATTTTATTCTAATATTTAATATTAATTTTTCTTCTTAATTCTTTATCATATAAACGAGTCATATTAAAATGCGTTTTTTTAAATTTCTACGATCCATACAAAAGTTTAAAAAGTGGTAGCAAAACTACTTCGTTTCCTCTCTGTTTTTCAAAGAAATTATCCATTCGTGATTATTGCAAACATAAATGATTCAGTATTTATGTAATCAGTGCTACAATCGTAATGTTTTAATCGTAATGTCGTAAATATTTTATAAAATTGAAGTTGTTGCTGTAGTGACAAATTCGCTTCAACTTTTTTGAAATCTTGCCTACCACTTTTTCAAAATTTTAACCTATAGCAGCTGCAATACAAATTTTAGAAAAGTTACCCGCATGCAATGCGTGTAACACGATTTTGATTGCCACTACACATAAATGTTTGTTAATAATATGATACATACCTGCCAACTTTCAATCCTTTCGATGACATTTAAATTATAATTTTAGGCAGAAACTTACGCTGTATTTTGAAAGGACTTATCAGTATTACATATTAATATATATGCTTACTTTTTCTAAAAATAGTGGTGGCAAAAAGATTATAAATTAAGTTTATAAAAGCAAGGAATATATATAAAACATACATTTTACTACCACTTTAAATATAGAAATAAAATTTTACACCAAATGCGTAAAAGTTGGCAGGTATGATGAAACTGAGCCAAACAAGTGCAGAAATGCCATGAGCGACAGAATTAGTAAAAAGTGATACTCAATTCATTTTTATTTATATACATACCTGCCAACTTTTACGCATTTGGTGTAAAATTTTATTTCTATATTTAAAGTGGTAGTAAAATGTATGCTTTCTATATATTCCTTGCTTTTATAAACTTAATTTATGATGTTTTTGCCACCACTATTTTTTTAAAAATTAAGCACATATAATAATATGTAATACTGTCATGTATGTCCACATGAGCTTAATCAAAACTCAGCATGTGTTTCTGCCTAAAATTGTAATTTAAATTCCAAATTTACTACCACAGGGGAAAATCATCCTCGAAAGGATTACAAGTTGGCAGGTATGTATATATAATATCTTAAATTTTTTAACCGTAACTACCACTGGGACTTACATTACAAATTTATTCACATTTAAACCATTAACACATATTATAATCTATGTGCCTCAGGTTCCCAGATAAAATTCTAATGATGATGGTGATTCTTTCAATAGTAAACGAAATAAAAAAAATAATAATACAATTATGTTGCTAATTTTAATAGTCACCATGTTTTGTATTTTTAGTCGCCCATGGCAACCCTGCATGTGGTAATATGAGAAATATATTTCTGTTTACAATTACCTTTCAAATATGGTTTGATTACCCCTCGAAAAAAAAGTATTTTGGAAGAGTAAGATTTGGCAAGTATGAAAAGGAACACAAACACCTATTTTTGACGTAGTATTAAGGGGACAGACACTTCACGATGAAAAACCCGAAAATCGACCAAATTATACTTTTTTCAATTTTTGTTTAAAAAAATAATAGTTATATCTAGCTACAATTTAAAAAAAAAATTTAAATTTCAGTCAATTTTTGCAAAGTTATAAGCATTTCAAGATTTGCAAACAAGGTTTTGTAAACTGTCTGTTTTTATTGTTAAACTGTTTTTCTCAATGTTGTTTTTTACGATAATATTCAAACTTCGAAAAGTTCCTTGCGCATGAGTTTTGAATAAATCTTTATTTTTTCTTCATATATATGATTGGTCTAATGTTCCTTAACCAATGTGATATAAATAAAAGCTGAATACTCACTGAATATTTTTTAAATTACTTTAAATTGTTATTTAAATTTAAATTTTTAAAATTTATTTTTTATTTGTTTAAAATTAAGTGCTAAGTTGTTCAAACATATCCAATTTTATTTATACTTATTCAAACTGTAATATAAATGAGTTTCATACAGCTACGATAAAAACTCATGCGCAAGAAACATTTTGAAATATTGGAACATTTAGTAATTTACCTTGCGGATAAATTATTAAAAAAATTATAGCTTTTCAACAAATTAATATTTCTGCTTCAAATTTTGGGAATATCTTTCTAAATGCTTTATTCAATATCTAAGAAATTTTCATTAAAATTGGTTGATATTTAAAAAAAATCATTTTGAACCTGAAGTGTCCCCTTAAGCAATATGGTATTTTGCGCACCCTGTTTTTAACTTTTTGTTGCGTTACGGTTTAGTCCTCCCACTTTCTCTTGTTTTTGACATAGTATTTTGTTTTCTACTCTTTACCTGCATTCTGGAAAACGGCGAAGGTAGAATCGCGACTACAATTAAATTAGGCAAAGGGTTACTTGTGAATAAGTAGTGATAGATATGTATAATTTGACACTTTAGAAATAAAATCTGAAATTAGATTTTTTTCCCTACCGTATGTTATTTTTAATTAAAATTGAGGGTCCCATCTAAAACACTTGAATGCTTCACATTTAGCAAAACATTTTCAAAACTCTTTGAAAAAAAGGCAAAAATGTCATCATACGAAAACAAGATAACTCTCTTTTTTATTAATAAAAATCCGATTTACAATAAAAAATTAAAACCTAGCATTTACTAAACAAATACAGACAATTTTATTCTGACATGCTTTTTACAATTTGTAGAGTAACATTTTGACTTAAGGCGTTTTGAAGTTTCATTCTTCAAAAAGAATGAAAATTATTTAAATTAACCGAAAAACTGTCTTGATATTGAATAGAAATTAAATGTTAGGAATTTGAAAGTCGCAAGAGATTTAATAAAAATAAAGTTCAACTCTGTTCATGTCACCTTTAGGGTAATTCATGTCACCTTTAGGGAAGAAAAAAACATCCGCAGAAAATAATTCGACGCATTGTTTATTAATTTTCTAAAGGATTATATGAAGTAAAGGGTGGACTGACTGACTTTAGTACAGTTTTAATAAATCTTCAAGAGTCATAATTTTAAAGGGAGAGGAATTTTTATCCAAAAAGTGAAGCACGACTTGTTCATTAATCATAATCATTATACTTTTGAATGTTTCGTCTTTTTGTTCAAATGCTTATGGACAGGTTTTTAGAATTTTAATTAATGCAAATATGTCTACAATTCTTAAATATATTCAAATCATTCCTGTCTTTTCTTTCTACTAACTGTGAAATATTTTCTCTCTCTAAGGATTTTAAGATAATTTTCGTGGAATCAGTATTGCATGAAATTGCCAAATTTTAATTTCTCTTAATAGCTGCACATTTAACAAGTGACCACCCTTCTCTTGGATTTCTTGGCTTAAATTTTAGGATTAAAATTTTCTGTCCCGAAATGGGGTAATTTCTTGTTTTTTTTATTTATTAACTAAATTGAATTTTATTATTATTTAGTGCTTTTAACTAGTTAAAATAGCATGTTAAAGTACTTGGAGCTGAGTTAAAAAATAAGAAAATACGTAAGTTAAATCTAGTTATGCACCTTGTCGAGAAGTTTCTACTCTCCTAAAACTAAAGCCTTTAACCCTCTAAGCATTAGTTCAGCAAAAATAACTTTTTTAACACGTTGCATGCCACGGGGGTCACCGGTGACCGGCAAAGCCAGGAATATTGGAAACACATAATTCGAGTAAATTTTTAATATTTTTATATTATTATCGTAACTAAAATGGTTTGAAAAAACTAATGCAATTAAACACACAAAAATAATTTTATTTATCTACACAGAGATGCCAACTTGCTCCGGACTGCGAATAAATATTTTCAAGTGGTAGTTTATAAATTGTGATTCTTAGTATAATAAATTGAATTTAGTAGATTTTTATCCATCTCTATTTCTAAACAATTCGTGGCTTATATAATTCACCACTTTTTTTCAGATAGGCTTTTTGCTACTTAGTGTAAATATTTATGCATATGTCTTCTGTAAACTTGGCAGAAGAGCTGCAAAATTATAGCAGTGTCAGCATATATAGCATATATTGGATCTTTAAAAACATATGAATTAGAAATCAAAATTTTTATTACACATTCTTTTTGTCTGAAATCGCTAAATGAATAATGCAGAAATAAGTGTCTTTGCCCTACTTTTAAAACTAAAATGAATAAACAATTCGAATTCTTCGTAATCTTAATTTTTCGATATCTTTAACACTCATAACCAGGCAACAACAGAAACACCTTTTCAAATCAAATGTTACAAATAAAGAATGGTTCAGACTCAAATTTATCTTTTTTGATTGCTAGCTTGCCTTATTTCAGCGTCTCGAGCACCTAACAAAAATATTAGTATTTTTTTTTTTAATCGAACAGAATTTCCAGAACGATATCAATATCGATGTCTTTTTAATGAATCCATGATTGGATGTATGTCCTAATCATTGGAACAAGATTTTTATCATCAGTGAAACAATTATCAGAACGCAGACAATTATCAAACCATTAACCTGAAGATTAAATTATAATTAAGAAACCCTGAGGAAATATTAGACATTGAAATAAAAAAATAGTAATAAGAAAAAAAAGAAAGCCTCTTAACATAGTCTACCGAAATTATTTAATTATAATAAACATTTGCATTTAAGAAAAAATTGTGTTTAGATGTTCTTCAAAAGGAACCTTCGGATCGACAACCTGCTACTCTGAAAATAAAAGATTTTTTTGAGTTTCATTTAATTCCAAAGTTTTTTCCGTTTTGTAAAGCTTGTTACGATAATAGATGTAAAACTTGCCCCCATATAAAAAACATAGAATTCAAAATAACGATAGCTGATTAATCTGAACAAAATAATTCATAAAATCAAGAGTTACTAATAAAAGTACTTAGAAACTAAATATTAGTCTACCTCTTGCTAACTCTGGGAAAATCTGAATTAAAAAGCGTATAAGTTAGCTACCGTCAAATTAACGGAGCTAATACATTTTGTGAACATACATTTTTCATTCCAGCTTGGCATTGTTTATAAATATAAGCTATTCAGCTCCAATTTCATGAATATTATTATGACTATAGGTAAAAAAATATAAATTATGAGAATTTGCAATGGATAATTTTCCACTGAAGTTACCTCTAATAATTTGCCAACTTTGAAAAAATCTTAATAAAAAAACGTATAAGTTAACTACTGTCAAATTAACGGAGCTAATACAATTTTTGAACATTGTTTTATTCCAACTTGGTATTGTTTATAAATATAAGCTATTCAGCTCTAATTTCATGAATATTGTTATGATTATAGGTAAAAAAAATTTAAATTATGAGAATTTAAGATAATTTTCCACTGAAGTTACCTCTAATAATTGTGATTTCAGCGTTTTGGCTTTTCTTTTTTCTTTAGTTCTTGGTTTCATTTTATATACATGGAATTCAGCTTCAAGTAGTTTGTCGGATTTTTCCATTGAAATATTAAAAAAGAAGTGAGAACGATGCCTTGATTCTGAAAATAAATAAATAAATATATAAATAAAATGAAAGAAAAGAAAAAAGATATATATTATAAATTATAAGTATAATTCTGCCTGCAACTGGATACATGCAACTAGAGAAGAAGAAGATCATTGATACACAGACACTTGGCCTATAACCTCAGTGCTAGCTGGTTATTTATAAACGAGATGGCGTGTTAATATTCTGGATATTGCTAGCTCAGGTGAAGTTAAGTTTCTCCACATAAGTTACTTAGAATGTTAATTAACGTGAAGTTAATTAAATACAACACCGTATCTCATATCAGATTTGTTAAAAAAAACTCTTTCGTGTCTACGTCTTTTATTTAACCTAGAATTATTATTTGTTTATGATTTTTATTGTAACCGTTATTATCTTTTGATCTAGCAATTTCGTTGCACAATTAGTTCGATTATGTTCTTCGTGGCTTCAGGCCTGTCTTTGTGTTAAGTAAGATATAAACAAGAGCTTTTTTATGAAAGAATATAGAATGTGACACTTAACAGAATTCATATTTGGCGGGCTAGGATTACTCGAAATAGAACGGAAAGAACAGTTGCTAGCATAAGCGAATGCCACTTTTCTACATCTAATTAGGATAAAAACACATGCTGATGTCGTTAAACTCATAGTGATTGAGTTCGTTAGTGATTGAATAGATTTTTTTAGGACGTGGGAACCCGGTATTCGGAGGTAAGGAACATAAATTAAAAGGTAAGGAACAAAAAGGATTTTGTTTCAAATTATAACCTAAGGTCTGGAGAGGTTGAAAACACTAATTTTACAATGTGCAAAAAATAAATAAACAGATAGATAATTTGATTTTTCGCGATATTTTAAGATTAGTAAACAATTTTAAATGAAATTATTTTTCTCAAAGTATGGAAACTAAAGAATCTCAAAATTTCTTCTCGAAGTTAAAGCTAACGCATTACAGTTTAGTGCTTTGAAAAAATAATTAACAAAAATTAGAAATAAAAAATAAAAAAATAATTGCACCCAAATAGTAGCAGCTAAAATACTAATAATAACTGCTTACAACTTTTAATAACGTTTTAAAGTGCACAAAATTTCTTCATCAACAAATCGAGAAGATAAAAATCATTAAGAAATTTCGACTTTGTGAAAGTCTTAAAATGCATAATTTATGATTTTAAGTGGATAAAAATAAAATCACCCTTCGTTAAAAATCAATATTAAGCCTAGAAATATTTGCCTGAAGACAAAGTAAATAGTTTAATATCTTACCCCTTTCGGCTTATAGATTTAAAGAACAAATTGATTTGCACGCTTAATAGACATCATTATTATCATAACTAAATGCTGCTTAATACTGTAATAATGCTGTATAATAAGAATACTGTTTAACATCAATGGAGAATTATTTCCTAGTATTTAAAAGCAAATGTTAAAATCGAGACAGTTATTATAGCAATAACAAATAAATTTTTAATAGTTAACTTTTTTAAAAAAATATTTTAATTTTTATTCTTACGTAACTCAACAACAAAAAACTCATTCTCACTTAGAAAAAATTTTGGTCAAAAGTACCGAAATATAGTAAGGCTTACTGCGTTTTGGCTCTATGGAAACACCACAAAAGCAGGTAATTCTTATCGAAACGCTGTGGTACTGATTTTTTATAAAATTAAAAATACAATAAGGTTTCATTATCATGCTGTTTGGTAATGTGGTAATTTTTTCTTGATACCGCAGAGCGTTGCATTTAATACATCTATTCGGTTAAATTTAATTTTCAACTTTATATTTTAACTAAATGTGTGGTAATAAGAACTATAATTTTGAAAGCCTGTAATTTTCAGCATATAATTATCATATTACTGGTTTAAATACCGCATATATTGAAAAGGACTCCATGGACAAATGGTATTTATCAAAAAAGTAAAAAATGGTAGGGCAAGTGTTTCAATATTAGAATTTATTTCAAAGAAACCAGTTAGTTCTTCCTTACAAAATGTATGAATAATATAAATATTTATGTTGTTGCATGAAGTTTTGACACAGTACCTTTTCAAAACTTAAATGGTAGGCAACAAAAGAAGTATGCACTTCTTTCGTAAAAGCACTCTCTTCAGCTTTGAAATATTTGTGTCCGAAAATTTAATGGATTAAAATACCACAGATCAGAGAACTAACATATATTTTAAGATACCCCAAATGCATTTTTTCAGATACGGTGAGATAAAATTTAAGATTTATTATTATGTAATCATATAGATTCTTTGAAGAAAAAAAAGTACGTATCAAAAAATAATAAATTTCGACATTTGTAAATTTTATTTTTGTCGTCAGTTTACCCTTACCTTACCACCATTAGGAAAAATATTTTCTAGAAACTACGGAAAATCCGCAATAGTTAAAGTCTCTGTATTTAATGGTCTCCAGGTATTACTTGAGTATGGTACGTGTGTAAACAAAAAAAAAAAAAAAAAAAAAAAAAAAAAAAAAAAAAAAANAAAAAAAAAAAAAAAAAAAAAACGTCTTTTTTTATTAACGTCTCTTTAAACGTCTTTCTTATAAAAAGATCTTTATTTCTTTTTTTTATAAATTTGCACTCAAGTAAATGTCAATCATGAGTAGAACGAGAGAGAGAGGGTGAGAGAGAGAAAGAGAGAGAGATGATGCCAGATATAAATCTGAGCAGTTATAATGATTTCTTTTAATAAAAATAAGAATAATATTGAGTGACCAGAACAATTCCTTATTTAAATTGTTATAAATTTCGTCAACGAGTAAAATTACTTCGCCTTTACTTCTTCTGATTGAGTCATGCAATTTGTATTTTTTAGGTTAAACTTTTTTGTTCAAGTTCGCTCAGGTAATCGTATATTTCTTTATGATTAACATGTTAATGAACAATTCTCATATAAAACTGAAAAAATAATTGTATATTTAGAAAACAAAATACTCTGTGTTCTTGTCGAAAATATTGACGTTTAAGTGGAAAAATTTGATGAATGAGAAGCATTTAGGTGGTTGGCGAGCAGAGAGAGGAGTTTCCTAGTATTTTTTTTTTTTTTTTTTCAAATGAACGCTAATTCTCCTGCAACCAACTTATATTGCAAATATCTCCCAATACTTGACCCAAGAGTTCCTTTGTCTTCTGTCTGGATTGGGTTCAAAATTACAAGGATACGGAGTTGAACATTGATAGTCGTAAATTGAAAATTCGATCGATCTTCTGTATCTTGTAATATAATCCTAGAAACGACCAACTATTGAAAAAGTTTAAAGACAAGTGAAAAGTAACAGAAACGTACTGTTTTTTATGTTCAACTCAGGATGCAATGTGTCTGTTTTCAAGAAACTTCAAAATTAGTTACTTAGTTTATTGACATATCGCCTGGTGGATTAGAAAATATAGTTCTATTCTGCGAGTCGGACTATTTCAACTGAATATCTACGTAAGCAATTGTTAATTTTGGCCTCAGATTGTGCCAAATTGTTGCTGCAAGCAAATTTTATGGTTTTTTAATGGTGCTATAATAAACTCTTTATAGCACCATAACGGCAATAATAAATTCTTTATTACAGCCGTTCCTATTACCGTTATGCATAAGGATTTAAAAAATCTTAGAAAAATTTAATAGTGTTAGTGAATTCACGAAAATTCTTATAATAGTTTTCTTTTTTATACTACCACTTTAGCTTTACGGAGTTTATGTCAAACAGTTCTCATACAGTTATATTTTCCTTATATAATAAAATAGTGATGGTCGCAAATATGTTAAATAACAGAAGTTTATCTCCTTTTCGTAAATACTATTCAGTTTTCATAAAACCAGCAAAAGTCCTAATTATAGGTGAAGATAAATACGTGCAAGAATGCTCTTGTGTAAGAATTATTTCAAATTAAGAAAATATATCAGTGATAAATGCATACTTTAGCTATTATTTAACTCAGTATATTATATAAGTATTTATGCTATATACTTATAAATTTACTCATCAGATAGTTTGTAGGAAAATTCATAATATTATTCTATAAACATTCCAAATTAAAATATTTTTCAAAGAATATCTCAATAGTCACATAGGACATTCCAAGACATTCCAATGAAGAATTCTTACTATTTCGTAAAAGTTTTTTTTTTTTTCTTTTTGAGAAAGGAAATAAGTTTAACCCAAAATATCGTTTGGTGATGAAATAAAATAAAGTAAGAAATAAAACGCAATTCTGGAATGAGTAAAAATTATCGTCAAGAGCAAATTCCCACACAAGTCGATGTTATGTATCCACTCATTACCCATAACTCAACTAATACATTAAGAACCGTTCACGGTAGCCTACGGCACTACGAAATGGTTCATTCTATATGATTATCGACTCGTCTATCGGTCCTTACGTATTTTAGAGACGGATCTTTTTCTTTGCTAAATATACTATCGATACTATTTCTTTTTGCCCTCACCTTCAAAGAATTACCCAATGACTCATTTGCAATTCAGATCGAACTAAGGCGGCTCCTTTTTTTTAGGACAGAAAGACATTAAAATTTTCCTGGGCGAAATTTCACAGATGATCTCTGGCAACAGTAGTTTTGTGCAAACGATATCGACCGATATTTGGAATAGCTACCGTTGCACTATCATAAGAAGTCTCATGCAATATAATCTTTAAGAGTGCGGAAAGAGTATTTTATTTTTAAGATAATCTCTTTCACATTATCATTTTTATTTATTATTCATTTCAGATTTTTCTTTTTTTATAATTTGCAATGTAAGATTGAAAATAAATGCTAATAATAAATAAAAAAAGCTTTGCCCTAGCTGTGTCAAAGAAGTTTCACAATATAAGATAGACTGGTTTTAAAATTATTGGTATTAAAGCTAAAAAGAAGTTATTAACTTATTCTTATTTTATTTTTATTCTTAAACTGATTCTTATTTTATTTTTATTCTTAAATTTATTATTATTTTATTTTTATTCTTAAACTTATTCTTATTTTATTTTTATTCTCAAACTTA